TCAGCATTATTGGTCGGGGCATAGACTTGGATTACCGTGATATTGAATGGCTTGCCACACTTTCAGGTATGAAAAGATGCAGTGATAGGGAATACTCTCCTGGACCATACTAGAACACAGGTGTCCAGAGATCTTTGACTATTCAGACCTAGTCCTGTAATAGCACACTGAGTGTCTTATCAACAGAAGCCTTCTTCAGAACTGGGAACAAGCCTTCCCAGGAATGTGGGACAAAATGTCATGAAATGCTCCCCAAAGTACAGCCGGATTTGTGACCACACGGGGGCCATGTCAACTACAATTGGCACCTACCAAGAGCATTGCCAACAACTGAACAGCGGAGGCGTTTGCCATCCGCCTCTATGGAGACTGAACCCCGTGCTGCTGTGGCTGTCGACCTTCAACAGTCCCTGAGAGAGCTCAAGGTAAAGTGAGGCCCTCTGTGCTCCAGGGAGTCTGGTGGGACAGGTCTTTAGATAGTTAGATGCTTTTAGGAACAGATTTTATGATTGCAATCCTTGCATCTCCTCATATCTAAGTGAAAGTGAAAGTCGCTCAGTCGTGTCCAACTCTTTGCAACCCCTTGGACTGTATAGTCCATGGGATTCTCCAGGCCAGAATACTGGAGTGGGCAGCCTTTCCCTTCTCCAGGGGATCTTCCCGACCTGGGGATCGAACCCTGTTCTCCTGCATTGCAGGCGGATTCTTTACCAGCTGAGCCACAGGGGAAGGCCTCATATCTAGAGAAGCACTAAATCCCTTCATGGTGACATCAGATCCTCATGACTAACAACCTTTTGAAGAATGAGTGTTTCATGTATATGGGATTTAGAAAGATGGTAATGATAACCCTATATGCAAAACAGAAAAAGAGACACAGATGTATAGAACAGACTTTTGGACTCTGTGGGAGAATGCGAGGGTGGGATGTTTCGAGAGAACAGCATTGAAACATGTATATTATCTAGGGTGAAACAGATCACCAGCCCAGGCTGGATGCATGAGACAAGTGCTCGGGCCTGGTGCACTGGGAAGACCCAGAGGGATCGGGTGGGGAGGGAGGTGGGAGGGGGGATCGGGATGGGGAATACATGTAACTCCATGGCTGATTCATGTCAATGTATGACAAAACCCACTACAATATTGTAAAGTAATTAGCTTCCAACTAATAAATATAAATGAAAAAAACAAAAGAAAAGTGAGCGTTTCATGGCATTGAACTCCCCCTTCAGCAAAGTCTTATACATTGCCTTCCCCCCACCGCCGCGTCGGAGCGGCCCCTCAGAGCTCTCTGAGAGGCTGCCGTCCAGTCTTGGCCAACAGACAGTGGACGCTGCTCCGCGTCATTCCCGTCCATTCAGGGCTCCAGCAGGCTGATATGGCTGTGTTTGCTCACGGCCACTCTGATGCCGGCCACACTGGCCTGACAGTGGGCTACTGACAAGAACAGTGAGCTTCCCGTGGGGAGGCTTCAAGTGAAGAGGAAGATGCCCTGTGGGCGGGGCCGCAGCTCCGGCCGCACATCGGTCCAAGTCAGGGCGACTGAAGCTGTTCGGATTCTTAGTCTTGTCCCTGGGCCTGCCGCCCCCTGCCCCCAGCACTTCAGGCCAGTGCACGTTCGGAGCCAGTGCACACTCGTGATAACCAGCCCCCTCGACGTGTAGTCCCCGCGCTGGGCTTGGCCTGCGGCCTGTTTGTACAGATGTGTCTGGTCACTGGAGCCGTGTGACGAGGGTCACAGCCCAGCATCTAGAGAGAGGTCCCTCTCATTCTTGACCCTCTGCTCTTAGGACCTGAACGCTGCAGAGTCTGGAGTCCAGCTAATGACCAACTCTCAGTTTAGGAACCTGGGATCCCTAAAAGAGTAGATTCCTCCGAGGTCCTGCTCCTCTGACTGGCAGAACCGGGATGGGCACTAAAGTTCCCCTGGCCCTCAGGTCAGAGTTCTAGCAGAAACACCCAGGGCACTCACGTCCCCCCACTTTCCCATGGATGTCACTTGGGCATCCAAAACTGATGTTGCCTGGGTGACTTCAGCATGATGGGCACAGTACGGCCCTGGAGGCCTTGCTGGGGAAAGACAGTGACAAAGGACCCATCCCCTGTACAGTATGGGGCTGGGGGAGAGAGACAGGAAAACCAAGGGCACGAAGTAGAAAGAGACCAACTGAGGCAGAGGGTTTATTACAGAGCAAGCGTGAATAGACTGCAAAGTCGGATGAGACTCTCAAGCAAACATGTACGGGAAAGTAGAACAGTTAGAGCTTTTCTTATCTCCTTGACAGACAAGTGGCTGCCTTTGGGATGTCTCTGGCACACCTCAGGAGTTAGTTTTGGAGGTGCAAGTGTTTACAGTTCCAGGGGTCACAAGCCTTTGACCTTGGAGCTATAACATGGAGATATCAGTCTCTTACTGAGGCTCCTGCTTGCAAGGAGATACCCTGAGGAGGGGAGAAGGGAAGACAGCTGCCTTTCTCCCCTCACTGAACGGAGAGTCCATCATTTTACCCTTTCATGCCTGTGTGTGTTTCTGATTGTGCTGTAACAAATAGCCGCAAATCCAGTGACTTAAAACCATACAAATGTATTGTCTCACAGTGTGGAGGTCGGAGTCTGAAATGGGCTGGCAGGACTGTGCTCTCTCTGGAGGCTGCAGGGGGCAACCTGTCCGCTGCCCTCTCCAGTCGCCAGAGCCCACCACGTTCTTTGTTCATGGCCCCCTTCCCCCCTTCAGGGTCAGCAGCGCAGCATCTTCAAACCTCTTTCTCCCTGTTGCTCGCCTTCTGTCATGTCACTCCCTCTGTCTGTAGTCAGCTCCTGCTCTGTCTCCTCGTATAAGGACCCTGATGACTGCAAGGGGCTAATCCAGGTACACCAGGGTCAAGTCCCTACAAGATCCTTACCTTAATCACGCCTGCCCCCTGAGATAACAAAGCCACCCGTCCCAGGGATCACGATGCCTTTGGGTCGTGACTCAACCTTCCACATTCCCCAGGCTTAGCGCTCTGATGGATTCCACTGTGGCCTGATATGGGCATCACCCCAGTGTCACTGCCCCAACAGAGGGGATACTTTGGGCTGTGTGGACACTTGTGAGGGCAGGTATCTTTTGTCCATCCTTGTAGGCAAAGAAGAAACATGGCTATGAGGTTTCAAATTTGGGGCTGAAGCTTAATAGTGTGATAATAATTAGAAATACTGGTTTAAAAATATTTAAATCTCTTGCTGGCGTGCATGTATGCCAAGTTGCTTCAGTCGTGTGCAACTCTTTGCGACCCTATGAACTGTAGCCCCCCAGGCTCCTCTGTCCATGGGGTTCTCCAGAAAAGAATACTGGAATGGGTTGCCATGCCCATCTCCCGGGGACCTTCCCAACCCAGGGATGGATCTTGAATCTCTTATGTCTCCTGCACTGGCAGACAGGTTCTTTACCTCTAGGGCCACTTGGGAAGCTTGCTGGAGTAGCATTGGAAAGTTCTCTGAGCTTCCATGGAGAGAAGGATGCAGCCAAAGGAAACAGTCTGCACTGCAGACTGTTCAACAGGCATTCAGACCGCTATTTCATGGGGTTTGTCTCTTGAAGAATTAAGCAATCATTTCTAAGGGTATCGTAACCAGAATTTCCATGAATTATTCAGTGTTTGATTTCTGCCTCTGTATAACAGAAATGCGGATCTTGCTTTCACCGAGGAAAATGGTTGCTGTGCAAAGATTGTCCAGAAGAAGGAGCCAAAGGCTTTGAAATGTGCCAGGAGCCCTGAGCTGATTCTAGGGAACAAGATGCAGATCCCCAAAAGGGATCGAGCGAGGTCGCTAGCTGCTACAGGTGCCTGCTGCTCACATACTGGGTGCTCAGCTGGGCCCTACGTGCCTGCCTGCGAATCAGTCATGCAGGGCCTGGGACACCTGGGCCCCACCTTCTCCCCACTTAAGGATCCTTGCTTCAGTTCATCAGGATAATATAAATTATGAATACTTGCTTTAAAAAACTTGTAAAAGAAATATACACCTTGAAAATTCAAAACAGCAACTGGTAGAGCCGAGAGCCCCACAGTAGCCTGCTAGGCGCCTCTGTGGAGCCCAGTAAGAACACTGGGGCGGCGGCCTTTCCCTTCTCCAGGGGTCTTCCCCACCCAGGGGTCGCACCCAGGTCTCCTGCCTTGCAGGCAGATGCTTTACCAATGAGCCACCTGGGAAGCCGTTTAAAAAATTGTAAAAGAAATATACATCTTGAAAATTCAAAACAGCAATCAGCAGCGCTGAAAACTGAATATCTTGCTATGTTCCCATAGACATAAATACTATTGTCAGTTAGTCCATAGGCTTCCAAACGTTACGTGTTCGCGTCCTCTGAGTCGCGCACACTCAGGTTTGTTTGGAGCTCACAGCCGCGCTGACTCATCAGGGTGTGTTTGTGCGTTGCCGTCTCCCAGCATCTTTGCAGGTTTGCTTCTTTGATTACGGAGTTTTGGTTGCGGGATGTGGAGAGCTGCAAAAAAGATAAGAATTACAAGAGTGGGCCTAGACACTGAGGAGGAAGAGAAGAAAGCAGTGCATCCCAGTTCAGGGAAACACGGGGCTTCGCTCTGTTCTTGTTTTATTCTCCAAAGCCAACCCGAACTGTAACAGAAACCACCTTCTTCTCAAGGACCCCTGTGATCAAAATACCAGATGGCCTTGTGCGTGGAGGGTTGGCAGAACCCTCTCCTTTGAGGGCACATGTGGCCCCAGGCTGACCTTGTAGTTTTGCTCCCCTGAACCCTGAGAAAGGGGGCTGGCAGCTGAGCCACCTGCAGCCCCGACTGTGGTCAAATAGCCCTGGCCAGGTAAACTGCATCTGACTGTGGGGCTCCGAGAGGGTATGGGCATGTCTGGTGGGAAGCTGTGGTTCCCCAGCCGAGGGGACTCATGACTGGGACTGGCGATGGTAGCAGGGAGCCGGGCTCCTGTGGGGCTGGGGCTTCCGAGCACCCAGGTGGACCCGCTGTCTCCTCACTCACCTCCGCTGTGTCCGGGGCACTGGACTGCAGCAGGACCGACCCTGACAGAGGTCCTGGGTGCTGCCCCGCCTGCTTGTGACACTTCCTGGCCCAGGTCCTTCTCCGTGATCTAGTGCCAAATGGGACCCAGATCATCCTGTAAGTACTAAGATCTCGAGACAGCGAAAGGACTGCTAGAAAGTGGGGGTAAGTCCAGGGTTCCCCGAAGTGGTGGCTGCGGTGGTGTCTGCTCTCCAGGCAGCCACAGGAAAGTGGGCTGTCTGGCCAGTGGTTGGGACGTCAGCCAAGTGAGTTAGAGAGGGTGGAGGGGCTTAACTCCCCAAACAACAGCTGTAATGGCCAGTGGTTGGGGCGTCAGCCAAGTGAGTTAGAGAGGATGGAGGGGCTTAACTCCCCAAACAACAGCTGTAATGGCCAGTGGTTGGGACGTCAGCCAAGTGAGTTAGGGAGGATGGAGGGGCTTAACTCCCCAAACAACAGCTGTAATGGCCAGTGGTTGGGACGTCAGCCAAGTGAGTTAGGGAGGATGGAGGGGCTTAACTCCCCAAGCAACAGCTGTAATGGCCAGTGGTTGGGACGTCAGCCAAGTGAGTTAGGGAGGATGGAGGGGCTTAACTCCCCAAGCAACAGCTGTAGAAAAACCCGGGGTCCAGGGCATCACACCTCTCCTTTAGATGTGTGAAAGGATTTTAATGTAAATGGAACTGGAGGATATGAAATGGAGAATCACATGCATGTACCCTCAGAAGAATGGAGAGACTGATTTCCTGTAAATGCCTGATTTACAGAACACTTAGAGATATCTCTTGATCAACGAACATTCACCAAGGATCTCTTCCCATCCTCAGGCCAAGGAGCTTACTGCTGGGATTCTGCGTGGACGTGCCCCTCTGCACTTCAGGCCATCAGTACCGCTGACCCAAGCCCTCAGCGGACTCACCTGTAGCACTAACGCCAGCATGTCCTGGGTTATAATTCTTCTGCTGAACCAGAAAAACACTCAGTTTCTTCTCAGTCGAACCTGCCTCAGTTTACCTCTGTTCGGGTTGACAGTCTTCACCTCGTCTCACAAGCTTAGATTAATCTCTCTTTCCTCTGGATTCCCTACCCAGTGACTCAACCTTAGTCTGGGCAATACTGTCATGACCTCTTATAGGGTCAGAACACATTATCTTTTAAAGGTTTAAAAGACCCTCTGCACACTGCTGTGTTTAAAATAGATAATAAGGACTTACTGTATAGCACAGGGAATTCTGCTCAGTATTTTATAATAAACTAAATGGGGAAAGGTTTTGAAAAGTAATAGACACAGGTGTAAGTATAACTGAGTCACTTGCTGTACTCCTGAAACTAACACAGCTTTGTAAACCAACTGTGCCCCAATTAAAAAAAAAAAAAGACTTTTTGCACATTTTAGCATCCAGTAAATGGTTAATTGATGCTTAAAACGATTAGTCTTTTGCAGTTTATGCTTTTGTTTTGTTTTGTTTCTCCAGAGAGCCCACTTCACCCTGGCCTGCCAGCTGACATTGTGGTAACTAGGATTTCAGGAGTAGGCATCCCAACTTCCCTTTCTATCACTGCTTTCAGATTTTGTTTCCATGAACGGTTTTACTTTTCATGAATGTGTTTTCTCAGGGAGAGAGTCTTTTCTGAAATGATACCTACATTCTGGGACAATGAAGCTCCATGTCTATTCAACAAAGCATCTCCTTTTTCTTTTCAAAAGCTCCACTCTTGGGCCAAGACCCCATTAATCATCAAAAAAGTAGTACAGAAAGTCCTGGCTGAACACCTGTCATCTAATCCTTCACAAAAGTGGACTGGGAGAAACCAAATCGTGTCGTAAGATGAATCAAGTTTTTAGTTCTGAATGAATTGGCAGTCCTTTTAAAAGTGATTTTGTTTTCAACTAGGAACATTAGAGAAACGTATTAGGATTTTTTTTTTTTTTGCATCAACTGGGTAAAAATCTTGACTTTTGAGGTAACATTTTATTTTTGTTTTGCAACCAAACAATTTATAATAACTCTATAATATTTCTTAAAATTGCATATTATTTCTCTAAGTGGTTTTGGAAATAAGCCCTATATTATTATTATTTTATCCAAGTAAAAAATAGGAAAACTAGATAACTATGAATGGGATTTCCAGTCATGCCATCTTCATCAAAAATACAGCTATGTATTTATCAGAACTGATCCACCCAACACATTTCTAATCTCTATTGTGCCCTCTTGTTCCATTTATTACTGGCCTAGGAAAGCATAAGGCTCAATAATATGTAAACACAGTAGGAATCCCTAAAAGAGAAAAGCTCAGAACTAATTTTAGAATAAGAAGAAAACCACCATGTGCTTGCTCTTAGGTCCCTAGATTGCATGGCTGATTTAATTCCATAAATAAACAACCTGCCCACATTTTCAGATAACATTATCAGCTGAATTCAGTTCAGCACAATACTCCTCTCTGGAGTTGGTGAACTTGGGGGAGGGCATTTGCTACGGTGGCCTGAGATGATGAGTCAGGTTTCAAAGCCCAGCAGTCTGTAGCCTTGCCCTCACTCCAATTCATTCTCCAATGCTTAGTTTCTCCACGTGTAAAGTGGAGACTGTATAGAGCTTCTCCATCTTTGGCTGCAAAGAATATAATCAATCTAATTTCGGTATTGACCATCTGGTGATGTCCATGTGTAGCATCTTAAATTCAGATTTAAATTGAAGAAAGTAGGCAAAACCACTCGACCATTCAGGTATGGCCTAAATCAAATCCCTTACGATTATACAGTAGAAGTGAGAAATAGATTTAAGGCATTAGATCTGATAGAGTGCCTGATGAACTATGGACGGAGGTTCATGACATTGTACAGGAGACAGGGATCAAGACCATCCCCAAGAAAAAGAAATGCAAAAAAGCAAAATGGCTGTCTGAGGAGGGCTTACAAATAGCTGTGAAAAGAAGAGAAGCTAAAGGAAAAGGAGAAAAGGAAAGATGTACCCATTTGAATGTAGAGTTCCAAAGATTAGCAAAGAGATAAGAAAGCCTTCCTCAGCTATCAATGCAAAGAAATAGAGGAAAACAATAGAATAGGAAAGACTAGAGATCTCTTCAAGAAAATTAGAGATACCAAGGAATATTTCATGCAAAGATGGGCTCAATAAAGGACAGAAATGGTAGGGACCTAACAGAAGCAGAAGATATTAAGAAGAGGTGGCAAGAATACACAGAGGAACTGTACAAAAAAGATCTTCACGACCCAGATAATCATGATGGTGTGATCATTCACCTAGAGCCAGACATCCTGGAATTTGAAGACAAGTGGGCTTTAGGAAGCATCACTACGAATAAAGCTAGTGGAGTTGATGGAATTCCAGTTCAGCTATTTCAAGTTCTAAAAGATGATGCTGTGAAAGTGCTGCAACTCAATAAGTCAGCAAATTTAGAAAACTCAGCAATGGCTACAGGACTGGAAAAGGTCAGTTTTCATTCCAGCCCCAAAGAAAGGCAATGCCAAAGAATGCTCAAACTACCACACAATTGCACTCATGTCACACGCTAGCAAAGTAATGCTCAAAATTCTCCAAGCCAGGTATCAACAGTACGTGAACCATGAATTTCAAGATGTTCAAGTTGGTTTTAGAAAAGGCAGAGGAACCAGAAATTACATTGCCAACATCCCCGGATCATCAAAAAAGCAAGAGAGTTCCAGAAAAGCATCTATTTCTGCTTTATTGACTATGCCAAAGCCGTTGACTGTGTGCGTCACCACAAACTGTGGAAAATTCTGAAAGTGACGGGAATACCAGGTCACCTGATTTGCCTCTTGAGAAATCTGTATGCAGGTCAGGAAGCAACAGTTAGAACTGGACATGGAAAAACAGACTGGTTCCAAATAAGAAAATGAGTATGTCAAGGCTGTATATTGTCACCCTGCTTATTTAACTTACATGCAGAGTACATCATGAGAAATGCTGGGCTGGATGAAGCACAGCTGGAATCAAGATTGCTAGGAGAAATATCAATAACCTCAGATATGCAGATGACACCACCCTTATGGCAGAAAGTGAAGAAGAACTAAAGAGTCTCTTGATAAAAGTGAAAGAGGAGAGTGAACAAGTTGACTTAAAGCTCAACATTCAGAAAACTGAGATCATGGCATCTGGTCCCATCACTTCATGGGAAATAGATGGGGAGACAGTGGAAACAGTGGTTGACTTTATTTTTTGGGGCTCGCAAATCACTGCAGATGGTGACTGCAGCCATGGAATTAAAAGACTCTTACTCCTTTGAAGGAAAGTTATGACCAACCTAGATAGCATATTAAAAAGCAGAGACATTACTTTGTCAACAAAGGTCCGTCTAGTCAAGGCTATGGTTTTTCCAGTGGTCATGTATGGATGTGAGAGTTGGACTATAAAGAAAGCTGAGTGCTGAAGAATTGATGCTATTGAACTGTGGTGTTGGAGAAGACTCTTGAGAGTCCCTTGGATTGTAAGGAAATCCAACCAGGCCATCCTAAAGGAGATCAATCTTGAATATTCATTGGAAGTACTGATGTTGAAGCTGAAACTCCAATACTTTGGACACCTGATGGGAAGAACTGACTCATTTGAAAAGATCCTGATGCTGGGAAAGATCAAAGCAGAAGGAGAAGGCGGTGACAGTGGATGAGATGGTTGGATGGCATCACCAGGTCAATGGACATGAGTTTGAGTAAACTCCGGGAGCTGGTGATGGACAGGGAGGCCTGGAATGCTGCAGACATGGGGTCACAAAAAGTTGGACATGACTGAGTGACTGAACTGAACTGAACTGTTTCAACAGGAAGCTGCAAAGCCGTCAGATGGAGCCGTGTGATCAGTGTGGACGCCAGCTGACCCCACAGCTACCTCTGCCTCCCATGGATTCTGAACCATCTTAACGGTGAGTCTTCTGGCCTTTTCTCCCTCAATGTGAATCCTCCTGCTCACAAAACATGCTGTGAAAATTAAGAAAAGCAAACCTTAACTATAGTTGGAGTCTGAAAGGTCTCTAGAGGGAGCTCTTATGCCATGTCATTCATCCTCAATTACCTCAACAGGAAGAGGCATTTACAGATCCCAACAGGAT